AGCAGCAGCTGTTGAATGTTCTGATGTGCGGCGGCACCTTGACAGCGTCCCCTTGCTGCTGCTGCAGCTGCTGCTGCAGCTGCTGTTGCCGCTGCTGCTGCTGATGCTGCTGCTCCTGCTGCTCAGCTCCCCCCCCGGCAGCAGCTGCAGCAGCGGCTGCTTCGAGCTGCGCAGCTGTTGCTGCTGTGGTGGCGCAGCAGCAGCAGCAGATCCATGGGAACGTCTCCTCTGCTGCTGCTGCTGCTGCTGTTGCTGCTGCTGCTGTTGCTGTAGTGCGTTGCCGATATCCACTGTAACAGCATCCAGCAGCAGCAGCAGCACGTCGCACAGCCGCGCTGCTCCTCCGTGCTGCTGCTGCTGCTGCTGCTGCTGCTGCTCAAACTGCACCTCCCACAGCAGCACATCTAGCAGCTGCAGCAGCTGCAGCCGTTGCGTCTGTGCTTGCTGCTGCTGCTGCAGTGATTGCTGCTGCAGCAGTTGCTGCTGCAGCAGCTTTTCTAGGAGAACAGCTAGCGGCCCAAAGGAAGCAGACAGCAGCAGCAAGCAGCAGCGGGGCTGCTGCATGCAGCAGAGACACCGCAGCCATGCTGCAGCAGCATCAGCTGCAGCAGACACGTCAGCAACAGCAGCACTGCTTCTGCNGCAGCAGCAGCAGCAGCAGCAGCAGCAGCAGCAAGACAACCTTGACTCCGCCTCAAATAAGCGGTGCACCCAATCATAGCACACCCAGCAGCAGCAGCAGCAACGACAACAACAGCAGCAGCAACGGCAGCAGCAGCTGCTGCTGCTGCTGCTGCAGCTTCAAGCAGCAGCAGATTCATGACAAGCAGCAGCACCAGCAGCAGCAACAACAGCAGCAGCCTCCGAAGTAACAGCAGCAGCAAGCGCAGCATTAGCAGCAACAGCAGAATTAGCAGCAACAGAAGCAGCAACAGCAGCAACAGCAGCAGCAGCAACAGCAGCAGCAGGTGCATGCATACAATCAGCAGTTTCTTTGAGTTGGGCCGCCAGCTGACACAAACAGGAAAACTCCTCTGCATACACAAAACACAAATGCTGCTGCTGCTGCTGCTGCTGCTGCTGCTGCTGATGTTGCTGCTGCTGCTGTAGGTATCCCACTGCGTCAGGGTGCTGCTGTTGCTGCTGCTGCTGCTGCTGCTGCTACTACTGCAATCACCTGCTTCAGGGTTGACGGGAAACTGTAAGGATTCGGAGAGGGCTTGCTGCAGCAGCAGCAGGTGCTGCTGTGCTGCTGCTGCTGCTGCTTCTGCTGCTGCTTCTGCTGCTGCTGCTGCTGCATGGGGTGTATTAGCAGCACCCCCAAGCGCCATCGCAGCTGCATGTAGTTCTATAGGCTTAACAGCAGCAGCAACAGCAGCAGCAACAGCTGCAGCAGCAGCATCTGCTGCTGCTGCTGCTGCTGCTGCTGCTGCTGCTGCTGATGTGTCTCTCCAGCAGCGCAGCAGCTCAAGGACAGCAGCAGCAGCTGCCCCCTTAACATGAAAATCTCCTTTTCCTATGGCGTCAGCAGCAGGCAGCAGCAAGCTGAGCAGCATAGAGCCCAGCTGCTGCTGCTGCTGCAGCTCCTGCTGCTGCTGCTGCTGTTGCTGCTGCTGCTGCTGCTTGCAGAGCCACATAGACGGCAGCACACACCATAGAACTGCAACAGCAGCAGAGATGCGCCAGCGTTGCTGCAGCAGCACCAATCCTCCGTT